TGGAGTCTGAAGCAGGCCCCCACATTCTGTTTCTCAAAGTTCAGATTTTAAATGAGTCTATGGCATATATTAGTTCTAAAAAAAAATGTAGTTTGATCTCCATTCTTACTTCTTTACAGATAATGCCATCACTGGGTTAGGACATAATGCTTTTGCTTCAGCTTTCATAAAAGTTTGACACCAGAAACATTCATTTAAAAATATTTCCGGTCTTTAACAAAACTATAGATATAGATATTATCATTTTATACTCAATGTTGCTTACAATTTTCTAAAGGCTAAAACTCCAGCGATCAGGGAAGCTTTGCCTAACCCACACTGCTCAACTTCCTTCACCAAAGGAAATGCCAGCGCAAAGAAGAGGAATGGAGGCCGGAACGCGCCACTCCCCCCGCAGGAGGGGTGAAGGGAGAAATTAGAAAACCCAGCAAACTGCCCAGAGGCCCTTCTGAAGAATTTCCGGTAACTGACTAAAGGGATCCAGACTGCCAGGCCTCCCGAGTCTCCTGAGAGAAAAGTCGCAGCCCATATTCCAGGCATCCTACTCACAGCCTCCCAGTGCTGGAAGCCAGAACAAATACAGCATCAACACCTTGGATTGGCTGGATGGAAGGCGGGGCAGTTCTTTTCTACCTGCTATATGCATTGCTCTTGGGAGGGTGAAGAAAGGTATTGAAATAAAAAATGGTGGGATGTATGAGGAAAATGGAAATAATTTCTCATAGGGAAAAACTGAATATTATTTTGTCAAGAGCAAAGGAGAAAAAGCAAAGGAATTTTGCCCCCACCCCCATTTCCAGGTCTCTTGGGCTATGATGTCTCCCCACAAAAGATGAAAAAATCTGGCAGTCTGTGTAACCCTGATTAATGGAAACGGAGATTTTCAGAGTAGTTCCACACTCCATTTAATTCTCTCCCTCCCTGACTCCAGAAATGCTTGATTTGGCTGTGTAAAAGTAATTCTAATTATAGTGATTTACATGAACTACTTACCATTTATGCCTAATTACCTCCCAGCACAATAACAATTATGCATACATTAAATGTGTCAGATTAACCTGGTTGTAAGTCTTATTTGATAACAAAAGTAAAGTGTTCATACATTCTCATTCTTCCTAGTTTGTTGCTCATATAGCATGGCCATCTGCTTGTAACTTTTTCAAAATTTTGTTAGAGAAAACCTTGTTATGTAGGTAGGTGAAAGCAGCCAAACACTCTGCCACCAATTTTATCTTATTAATTAATAACTTTGGCATTTTGTGAAGGTGTATTTTATTTTAATATTATAGCTTAGCCTCACATAAAGCTTCTTAGGCATACAATGAAAAAAAAAAAACAGTCCACTATAATGAATGTTTTAATATCTGTATTAAAAACAAAATCAGCCCTGGTCGGTTTGGCTCAGCGGTTAGAGCATCGGCCTGCGGTCCAGAGAGACCCGGGTTTGATTCCCGCTAAGGGCATGTACCTCGGTTGCAGTTTGTCCCCGGCCCTGGTTGGTCGTGCAGGTGGCAGCCACTCGATGTGTCCCTTTCACGTCGATGTTTCTCTCTCTCGCTCTCTTCCTCTCTCTCCCTCCCACTCTATCTGAACAAAAAATGGAAAAATGTCCTCGGGTGAGGATAAAAAAAAAATCTAATGTTCATAAAATCATAAATTCTACTTACTAAAATTAAAAACTTTATAAAGTTCTACTATCACTGGAAAACATAATGGTCCAATTTCCTTCTCTGATAATCAGCATATCAGTGTTATTTTTTAGAAGAAATAGGTCTGTGGCATCTTATACTCTTCAAAAAATAAAGCTTTGTAGATGTTTTACTCAAACGACTGGATCTTTTTCAATGTTAAAAATTTGGTGGGCTGGCCAGGCCGATGTAGCTCAGTGGCTGAGCATCGACCCATGCACCAAGAGGTTAGCAGTTCAATTCCTGGTCAGGGCACATGCCCAGGTTGTGGGCCAAATCCCCAGTGTGGGGCATGCAGGAGGCGGCCAATCAATGTTCTCTCTCATCAATGTTTCTATCTCTCTCTCCCTCTCCCTTCCTCTCTCTCTAAAATCAATAAAGAAAAAAGATTAAAAAAAAAAAAAAAAAAAAGATTTGGTGGGTTGAAGAAATTACAAGACAAATATTACCACAAAGAGATGTTTGATCTAACGGCTGAGCATTTATTCACCTATGCATTAGCATTTAACAAATATAAGCTTTCATCAGACACACTGAAAACCAGCTGACATTTCAAATCTCCTCCTTACATAAGATTACAACTATGCAATTAAACCAGGGTTATTTACTAGGTAGACCCATCATAGCCAATTCAGAAATCAGTAGTAGAAGTGTGGGAGAATACCTCTAAAAAGAGTCAAACAATAATTTTTTTTTTTACTTATGGGTTTTATTTTGCCAAACATTTTAAAGAAAAAAACACACATGTTGTTGAATTCACAACCAGATAAGTTAATGATTTAAGGATACTTTTGATTGGATGGAAGTTCACCAACCACAGTAAGATGAGCCCTGGAGATGATAAAGAGTGGGGAGGAGGAAAAATATAGTATCTTTCCAAAAGAAAGAGAATTAGGAAGGGAACAAGATAAAAATTCATAAGACTAATTTAACTCACAGATAACCAGAAAATCCAGTTGAGTACAATATCTGTTTTCCTGGCTGCGACACATAACCAAGTTGGTATTTTATTTGGAAGGCCGCCTATATTGCAAACTACAATTAGGATGTAGTACATACGTAGTCTATATTTTCCAAACTTTTTAGTTCTTTACTCACCTAAAATTTTGGAAATATGGGAAAAAGAGAAAAGGCTGGCCATCCAAAGGGGTAATTCATCATTATTCCCTATCACCATTGTCAATCATGGCTACCACACCATGGTCTACTTCTGAGGGAAACTGTCATGCTCACAGGAGGCTGGGATGGTAACTTATGCAGAGATCCGATATTTACTCTGGCTAGTGGCCTTTGAAAAACCCAGTGTGAAAACTCTGCCCAAACACTGATGAAAAGATTGGTTGGCTCATCAGATTCTTACTCGGGAATTTGAACCACAGATACAGGGAGAGAATTCAGAAGCTGGTAAAACAAACAGAAAATGGACATAGGGGGAAGGAACAAAAGAGGAAGTGAGTTACATGGACAGAAAAGCACTGGAGTAGCTAGTTCCTGCTGCTGTACTACCGCCTGTCAACTGGGCAAAGCTTTCAGAGCCACTGGTTCTGGCTGTATGATGGAGCTGCCTTTGCTGCTATCTGCATATGCAGTCTGTTTCTAAGTCTCCATTTCTTTCTGTAACCTACATGAATCTCTATTCTTTTTAACCAAAAGACATTAACACAAATGACAGCCTTTTTTTTTTACATAAATATAAAACTATTTAATTGTTTTCAGTGCTTTTAAAAAAGGAATATTACCTTCAGTAGTTTTCAAATAAAGTACTACTAACACAAGTTATACAATATCTTTCTTCTGAAGACCCTATAAAAAATGAATATTCATGTGTAGGAACAGGGGAGAGATGATTTGGCCAATTAAAGAAAAACTAGACTAAATTATATTCTAACTCATTATTATTAATATCCTTCATAATTTGAAGATGACAACACTGACTTCTATAATGGGATAAGGAATGGGAGTTTTCCTGTCATCTTAAAATTCCAGCAAAAACTCAAAGCTGAGGATAAGGGGAGACATATTCTCCTATAACTCTTAAGAGAGACACTAGTCATATCCATGCAGGAATTATTTAAAAAGAAAAAATCAGCTCTAAAACCAAAGTGGAACTGAAGAAAGTCATCAAAGTAAAAGCTGTTAGCTGGGTAAGAAATGCTGTAGCATTTCCTCCAGATAAACCTCATGCTAAGTACAGGGATAACCAAAGAGAAGCATCTAAAGGGGTGAGGACTGAGTGTAAATTGAATACTTGCTTAGGTGAGGAAATCTATAGTCAGCAACCAAAGCAGAGTGTGAAAGAGTTCATGGAAGAACTTGACATGTGTCCCCAGGATCATGGAAGTATACAGGACAGACAGAGATTGGTGCCTACTTCTTATCTGCAGAAGTCCAAGGGCAGGAGGCTGACTAAGGCTGCCCATGCAGTAGGGATTAGAGAAAGGAGATGTTATGCTTCTTGTGGCCTAAGTAGACAACATCAAAGGTGATCTGTCTAGAGCTGTCCTGAAAGAGCTCCACCCAAGAAGGCCAAGTGCAAGTACAGAAGGGTTCCAGCAGAATGTAGTGGTGTGAGGTGGAGAGTCATAAGAGGTCAAAGAGTGGAGCACTGGGGAGGTCCTCAGGGAAGTCCTGAGGAACTCACCAATGTACCCCTCAACAAAGAGCTAGCATGTCAACATCTATCACACCAAAGGCCCTTAACCAGCCACTTAAGACTCTGCTATTTCACTCTAATCTTCTATCCCTCTCATTCTGATCCTAGAGAAGACAGGTAAGCATAAAAAGGAGGATGAGGGAAAGAAGAACAAATCACTCTGCCTTCTCCACTGCTGCTCCTGGGCCATGCCTGAGCAAGAGAACGGGGAAAGCTTTGGATAGCACAGATGTTTTTGTTTTGACTGGACGGCACCAATTGTTACCTAAATATGAAGCAATCTGAATCCTCCCAAGGTGAAAGAAAGCCAGAGTGGATTAGTGGTTGGGCATCGACCCATGCACCAAGAGGTCACCGGTTCGATTCCCCGTCAGGACACATGCCCAGGTTGTGGGCCCAATCCCAATGGGGGACACGCAGTAGGCGGCCAGTCGATATTCTCTCTCATCGATGTTTCTATCTCCCCCTCTCACTTCCGCTCTCTCTCAAATCAAAAAAGGGGGAAAAAAGAGGTCAGACATGGCGATCCAACAGAGCTTGTTTAAAGGAACTGGTGGGAAATTTTCAAGCTATTTCAGAATTGTATCCAACTGGTTTAATCCATTTTATAGAATGCTACACTTTTAACTGTTTAATCGTTAGCATCACACAAACCTTACCTTTGAAAAAAGGCCTTCTGCCTCTATACTATATCCTTTAAGGTCCTCGTGCAATTTCTGCAAACACTGTATGACTCTTCTTTGATTTTCATCGTCCTTTAACTCACGAGCTTTGATCAGAAAGTCATAGTGGTCCAGAGGTCCATGGCAAACAGCCAAAGCTTTCAAATAAGCTTCTGTAGCCACAGTTGGAGGCATACTCTCGGTTGTCTGAACTGTATAGGCTTTAAATAAAAAAATATATAAAATTTTAGACTTTCTTAAATGGAGATATTTCATAGTGCCTACATATGGTTCTTAATGGTCATATTAAAACTTTTAATCTACTACGAGATATACATTTGAGCAGTTATTGTAAATATCATTTTGCTAAAAACAATATAATTTTGCACAATGTATGTGTAATCATCTCATTTTAATAAAAGAAACCCAAACCCATAAGCTATCATTGTAACTCTCTTCTAGAAATCCTGAATTGCTGTAAAGTCTCCGCTTTGCCTTTAACCCATTAAATGAGATCCCGGGGTCCACCAGATCTTCCCAACAACAAGGCTAGTCCCTTTCTTTGACTCTGGACTAATTATGGTTCTTGGGTACCAAGGCAGAGACGTACGGACTAGTCACGAAGGGTTTTCTACTGCACTTTTACTCTCTATCCAAAACCACGCGGCATTCAAATGTTCCCACATGATTCCAGCCCTCTGCTTATGAGATTCTTTCCCTTTTCCATAACCTTTAGGCTGAACACAGAGAGTTGGGACACAATAATGTCAGTTTCTAAGCAGGGTGGTATTCTGATGCCTCTTTGAGATATTTGAGACATTTACCAGTGTGGTATAACAAAATATCTATTTGGTCTATAGTCCCTAACACAGGTCTCCTAAAACCCTTGGAATTTCCTGAGTGATATTATCTCTTTGATAATTAATAATAATTAGCACCTTCCTATCACACCTGAGTTATGCTAGTGAGGTAACTTAGATAGCTTTAGGACAGGGCTGGTCCCCAGAAAGACCAGGTATGTAAAGGGTTAGAACTTTCATCCCCACCTACTCACCTCCTGGGAGTGGAGGGGAGGCTGGAGATTAAACTCGACAAACACTCCTGAACAATGAGATTTGAAAAGCTTCCAAGTTGATAAACAGAGTTCAGGGAAGATGGGACACCACTAGGAAGCTCTCATTCCTTGCCCTGTGCATCTCTTCCATTTGGCTGTTTCTGAATCGTAACCTTTATAACAAACTGGTAAACATAAGTAAAGTGTTTTTCTGAGTTCTGTGAGACATTTCTAGCAAATTATTGAGCCTGAGAATGAGGGGTTGTGGGAACCCCTGAATTTTTAGTCAGCCATGCAGAAGTGTGGGTAGCCTGGGCAAGCCCCTTGCGGCTGTCGTCTGAAATGGGGCCAGTCTTACATGGAAGTAGGGCACAGACTGACATCCCTCAGAAGAGGGGATGGGGGGTGGGGGGGGTGGGAAGAGATAAACCACAGAACTTATATGCAGGTATGCATGACCAATGGACATGGACAACTAAGCCGGGGACAGGGTGGAGGGGGGGTAGGATGGGGGGTGCCAATGGGGTAAAAAGGTAAAATATCTGTAACAAAAATAAATAAAAATTCATAATAATGAAATGGGGCCAGTCTTGTGGAATTGAGCCCTTTAACTTGTGGGATCTATTGTACAACTCAGGTAGTGTCAGAATTGAATTGAAATGTTGGATTCCCATTGGTATTGAATCGGACTTGAGAATTTCACACCAGGGAAAATACTTTTCCACCCTGTCCTTGAATTTTCTGGAGTCAACCAGGTTAAAAAAAAACAACCAAGAGTAATACTAATTTCCTTCCCCTCTATTCCACAACCTCTTTCCCCAGCCCTCATCCAGGTTCTCAACCAGTCACCAATGCTACTCAGTTTTACATCCTAAATACTCTTAAATCCATTCCCTCGTCCCCTTCCTAATACTACCACCTCAGCTGAGGCTCTCACTATCCCTGACTTAGCCTCCCTGCCTCTGACCACCACCTGCACACACTTTTTGTTTTGTTTTGTTTTTTGCCTAGAACGAGAGGGAGAGAGAGAAGAGAGAGAGAGAGAGAGAGAGAGAGAGAGAGAGAGAAAACATGAGAGAGACACATCAACTGGTTGCCACCCACACGACCCCAACCAGGGCGGGGACAAAGTACAACCGAGGTTCGTGCCCTTAGTGGGAACCGAACCCAGGTCTCTCTGGACTGCGGGCCGACGCTACCACTGAGCCAAACTGGCCAGGGCCCACTACCACAGTCTTTAAAGTATCTTCCACTGACTACAGAGATGATCTTGCTAAAATCCAAATACAATTTTATCAAAATTTGCTTGAAATTCAGCTCGTTGTTTAAAGGAATGATTTTCAAACATAATTTTAAGAGCAGCACTTATTTTACATATACAACCTTCCATAGAATCCTAAATCTTTTAAAGAGAAAAGTGGGAAGGGGGTGGCACAAAGTCCTACCCTCTTCACAGCTCCCTCATTCCCACACCCATGCCACCCCTATTCCCAAGGCAGCCCCTGAAACCACCTCCTCACCTTATACAATCACACTGAATATTAATAGTTCAGAAATGGAGTGCAGGCCTGAGACTACTGCCCTTAGAAAAGCCTGCTTGCAAAGGTGAGCCCTTGGCTGGGAACTTGGATTCCAAGAGGGTTCCCACCACTCCCAGAAATGATAAGAGTGCTCACTGTGCCTAAAAGTCTGTACCATGTATGAGCAATGTGGTTTATGCTGGACACCTAGTTTCCTTTTACAAGTCTAGAATTTTGGTACATGCTGGGTAGCAAGGCCTATGTTACTTGCCCCCAACCAAAGGCATTGAGTCTTTAATGTTCCCTGATATAAAACATTTCACACCTGTTGTCACAATCTTTTGCTGAAGGAACTAGCACATTCCATGTGACTCCACTGTGAGAAGACCCTTGGATGCTTGTGCCCAATTTTCTCCAGATTTTTCTCCACGTGCCTTTTCCCTTTGCTGATTGTGCCTTGTATCCTTTAACTATAATAAATCATAGCTATGAGTCCAACTATATGCTTAGTCATGTTAGTCCTCCAAGTCACCAAACTGGGGGGTAGTCGTGGGGATCATCAACAAAGATAGTATCCTCATTCTGAGGTGCAAGGGATCCATAATAGGTCCCCAGCCTACATTTCCAGACCACTCTCCCTCCACTCTCCAAAGTGCATTCATTGATTCAATAAATGACTGAGTACCCACCATATGTAATGGGTAATGTAATGGGAAATGAGGAATATCGAAGTTGTTTTATATTTTAAGTGGGGGTGGAGGGACAAAAAAATCCCATCAGTAATATGTTCAGATTAACTGGTAGTAGCAAGTAAAATTAATTTGGGTACAGAGAAATTAGTTATGAAATTAGTCATTCTAAGTGGGAAATATTAAATGCCCAAATTAGGATAGGCAATAGCAGGAATTAGGATTATTTTGTTATTATAAGGTCCTTGCACTACCTGTATAGTGGTGTCATGTTACTTGAAAGTGGACTTGGGTCAATCGTATATCACAAACTCTAGGGCAACCACTAAAAAGTGTTTTAAAAAAGAATATATAATTGATATGTTAAGAAAGGAGAGAAAATGGAATCATAATATCTTCAATTAATTTTGTGAAATATGCCATTGGTATCTTGATAGGAATTGCGTTGAATTTGTACATTGCTTTGGGTAGTACGGACATTTTAATTATGTTAATTCTTCCTGTCCATGAACACAGTATATACTTCCACTTATTTGTATCTTCTTCGATTTCTTTCTTCAGTGCCTTATAATTTTCCAAGTAAACATCTTTTACATCCTTGGTTAACTTTGTTAAGATGTGTTTAATGGCACAGAATGTGGTCTGTCTTGGTGAATGTGAGCTTGAGAAGAATGTGCATTCTGCTGTTGTTGGATGAAGTATTCTATAGATGTCAATTATAACCAGTTTATTGATGGTGTTGTTGAATTCAGCTATGTCCTTTTTGACTTTCTGACGGTTGGATCTGACCACTTCTGTTAGAGGGGTGTTGAAATCTCCAACTGTGATAATGGATTCATCTGTTTTTCCTTACAGTTCTATCATTTTTCTGCCTCACATAATTTAGTTTGATGTTCTGTGGTTAGGTGTGTACAAACAATACTGAGAAGGTGGGGGCGGGGGCGGGAGTGGGGAGGAGAGTGTCGATGAAGGAGAAAGGAGAGACATCTGTAACAAAAATCAAAGAAATTCAAGCAAGGAAAAAAGAATTGTTATGTCTTCTTGGAGAATTGACTCCTTTAGCATTATACAATGCCCTCTTTATCTCTGATAACTTCCTTTGCTTTGAAGTCTGCTCTATCTAAAACTAATATAGCAGTTCCTCCTTGATTAGTGTTGGCATAGTATATTTTTCTCTATACATTTGTGTCTTATATTTAAAGTGGGTTTCTTATAGACAACATATAGTTGGGTCTTGTGTTTTGGTCCACTCTGACTATCTGTCTTTTAACTGATGCAGTTATACTATTGACATTCAAAGTAATTCTTGATATAGATGGATTAATATCTACCATATTTGTTACTGCTTTCTATTCATTGCTTTTGTTCTTTGTTCCTATTTTGTCATCTACTTTTTTCTGTTTTGTGTTGTTGTTTTTCAAAGATAAGCAAAAGTTTATTTAGAAAGTCACAGAGGTAGAAGAAGTGAACCATGGAAGAAGTGAGCCAGCTGGGCTGTATGGGCTCAGGAAACAAGTTACAGAGGCAAAAGAAGGGTCCTTGGAGCTTAGAAAAAATTTATTCCTACGTATTTTATTCTTTTTGAAGTTTTATCCATAATTTCCAAAAGTTGGAAGCAACCAAGCTATTCTTTAGTAAGTTAATGGATTCACTGGTACATCTAGCCAGTGGAATATTATGCAGCACTAAAAAGACATGAGCTATCAGTCCATAAAAATGCATACAGAAAACTTAAATGCATACAACTAAGTAAAAGAGCAGATCTAAAAAAGCTACATACTATAAGGTCATATTTTCTAACTACATGACATTCTGAAAAAGGCAAGAAACTATAGAGAAAGTAAAAAGATCAGTAGTAGACAAAGCAGGGGTAGGCAGGAGGAATAAATAAGTGGAGCACAGAGGATTTTTAGGGCAGTAAAAATACTCTGTATGACACTATTAGGATGGATACATGT